CGGGCCAGGCAGCAAGGTCCCCGCTGGCCTCCCCGCCCCTGTCCCCGCCCTGAGGATTCCTCGAGCCCCTTCCTCTAGCCCTGGGGGTTCCTGCAGGCCTCCCCCATCCCAGGCCTGGCGTCCTCCTGAGTTCCCTCCAGTAGCCCCAAGGGTCCCTGCAGGTTTCCCCTGTCCTGGTCCTAGGGGTCGTCCCCATTAGCCCTGGGAGTCCCTGCAGGCCTCCTCCCTCACCCTGGTCCCACTTTTCTGTCCATGGGTTCAGGGTGTTGCTGCCTCCCCTTCCCATCCTGGCCCCCTGGCCCATCTGATCCCATCCCTGCTCCTTGGCTCTTAGGAGAAAGTTGTCTACAGCGTCCCCATGGTGTTAAGAGACTTGCCTGACCACCAAGAGCCTGGCCCGAAGCTGTGTGAGCTGCATCACCCTTCACTCCCTTGATGGCTCCCCTCTCTCCTGGTTTGTGGTTCAGCGTGTTGGGCAGTACCTGGGGCCCTGCCTGGCTCAGCGGGGCAGCAGCCTCACAGAGATCTTTTTCACCAGTCTTGTCTTTGCATGTCCCTGCTTGTCCTCACTGGATCTGAGTGGCTGTAACAGCCCCTTTATGTCCAGGACTCTGTTCTCCAAGCCCGAGACAATCCTCTGAGCCCGAGAGGCCCTGACTCACCTGCAGGAGCTGAATTTGTCCAACTTGCGCTACTTATCTGATCTCAGCTTCAGCCACCTGACTGGCTGCATGCTGCAGCCCACCACGCACTCTCCGGCCTGACAACTACAAGTGCTCTGCCATACTGTCCTTCCACAACTTCCTGAGGTTCTTGAGGGAGCGGACGAGCAGCCTTCAGGCCTGGGATTTGAGTGGTGCTACCATCACAGCTCAAGCTGTGAAAACCCCAGAGCACGTTGAGAAACTGTGCCTCCGGCAGCTCATACTTCAAAACTGACAGAAGCTCTGTGATGAGAGCATTAGCTTTCTCTGTGAGCATCAGCCAGGCTTGACCAGCCTAGACCTGAGTGGATGCATGGAGCTCTCTGATAGGGCAACCCTCACTGTCTCAGCCCATCTCCCAGGCCTCCAGAGCCTGCACCTGGGGGGCTTTTGAGAGGATGGTGGAGCTCAGGAGCCTGCAGAGCCTGGATGTCTCTGAGTGTGGCCAAGTGAGTGGCAGCAAGCTGATGAAGGCTTTCTCCTCTCCAGAATGGCAGCCTAAATTGGCCTTCTTCAGTTTCACCTTCTGCTCTTTGCTTAGAGTAAATTCCCGAGTCATGGCAACTTCTGAGAAGGGCTGTCACCAAGCTGTCTCCATATTCAGGTGGCAAGTGCTGTCATGGACAGTGGACTGCTTGCTGGGCTGAGGTCCCACAGCTGTATGGGCAGAGTATTTCTCTGGCTCATGCAGCCTGCGGTGTTGTCTTTGGTGCTTCAGCCTCTCACCCATTGCAAGGTATGGGTGTGGTGCTGTAGAGAGCAGTGACACAGCAGTCCAGCAAGGGGAGGAAGAGGTGACATTGTGGGAATGCCAGGTTTTCAGGTTCTATTGCTCTAGGTCCTGTCGTCCTCAGAGAAGGCTGGCAAATTTCTCCTGCAGAGTGTGCAGGGGTGGTGGTCTGGGTTAAAGCAGGGCAGTTCTGCAAGTGCAGGGGTGCATTGACAGCCACAGAGCCTAAGTGAGCTGGCTGACTGGCTTGTCTGTTGCCCTCTGTCCAGCTTCTCTACTTCCCAGGGCTGAGGTAGCTGTCTTTTAGCCTAGTCCCAGAGATCACTGACACCAGCTTGGTAGCAGTTGCTAGGGTTTGCCAGAGCCTAGAGCAGCTGTCACTGAGCCACTGTGGAAACTTGATCGGATGGGGACTTTATAGAGGCGGCTGCCTTTTTACAGAATGATATCTCAACATCTCTGACCGCAACAAGCTCACTCACCTGTGGGTATGGCAGGGGCCCACATCCCCTCTTCTTGCTGGAAAGGTAGTGGGCCCCACAGGCCTCAAAAATGGGGCTGCGGCTTAGCCTGGGTGGGCTCCAGGACCAGACTGCTGGGGGACACAGCCCTGAATGCTGTCTTGTTTGCAGGACACTGACAGCTCTCAGCAACCAGTGCAGATGTCTCCATGTGCAGTGGGATCAGTATGACAGATACAGAGGGCTTTCAAGCTGGGGTGCCCCCTGCAGACATGCATGCCGTCATGGTTTCGGGGGACGGCCGAGCTTTCCCTCATCCTGAGGGGCAGACCCTGGCCTCAGACAGCTGAGGAAGCATTCCTGTCTTAACAGTCTCATATAGAGGTGGCCTGGAGACTGTGGTCATGCTGCCCAGATGTCTCTTATGCCTGCCAGCCACGATTGTTCTTACTGTCCAGTGTTGAAAAAGGCTGAATTCCTCAAAACTACAGGTACACCAGCAACTCCCTCAGCTTGCCCCACTAGACTATGCTGGGGATACTGCTGCATAACGCAGCTAGGAAATGGCTTCTCACTAGGGCCTCCTGCTCACAGATGGAAGTAGTTTGTGGCTCTGGCTGATACTCAAGACAGAGAGAAGAGCTACTGTACACCAGAGACCAGTAGTCTCCAGCATCCGCTGTGTGCTGGGTTGAAGACCCTAACACCCCTGTGGAGGACAGGAACATGGTGCCCTGCCTTCAGATCAACCTGGGCAATCTGCAGTGCTCTTAATGCCCTTTCCACCCTAGTAAGCCTTAGCTGTAGCCCCACAACCACCTTGCTCTGAGGTGACCTGACTCCCTGCCTGCTCCTCCACTCAGCAGTAGGAATGAAATCTTCCTGACAGCCATCCCGCAGGCTGCTTAAAGCACTGAGCTGCAGCTTTGAGAACAGCCTCATTTCCTCCTGCCCAGCTTGTTCCTGCAATGCAGGAAGCAGTGTTTTCCAAATGCACGTCTGGCGTCCTAGGTGCTGCCCAACATGCTGTTCTTCAAGAAAATGTCTATTTGTGTGGGTCTCTTCTGGTGTGTGCAGGCAGGAGGGCAGAGCATGATGCTGCACCTTGTCCAGCTCTACAACACAGCCCCTGTCTCACCCTTCCACTGTGACCCTAGCCTTTCTGCCTGCATTCAGCCTGACCCATTCCCCAAACCTTTCAAAAGGACATGGCACTGAGGTCTTCACAAGTGTTTATTGTTCAAATACACTGGAGGTGGAGGTGCAGTCACAGCCCATGCCACCCCAGCAATGTGTGGTTACAGTGCTTAGACAGTCACAGGCTCACAGGCTAATCCTTTATTGTACAACAGCCCTTAAAGAAGCTGTAAGCACAAGGAGGCACAGGACACCAGGGTACCGTTAATAGTAGGGGCATCAGGGTGAGAGATGTTTGGGGCCATAGAAGAGGTAGCTTTTATTGCAGTGGTGCAGCAGCATGGCTGAAGTGTGCAAGTATCTGCCAATGTGGGGGAAGGCACCAGGATTAGCACGAGCATCTCAGTGTTGTGCAGCAAGGGCAGACTGGGGTCTCCCTGCCGCATTAGGCACAGTGGCGATAAGCCTGTGACCGACCGTTTGAAATTTTGCTGGGTAGAAGGGACTTGTGCCCTAAATGACCTCTGGGAGCACTTGCAGAAGGGATGAGGAGGAGAGATGGGTTCAGGAGAAAATTTGCAGTCACATAAGTGACTGGCCCATCAGTCGACCCATTTGGTGCTAGGATACTGCTCTGTACATAAACTCCCCTGTTGCATAAGGGCTGTGGCCTGGCCATGACTTGACACTGACCCTGCGGGAGAATGCCATCTGGTCATCAAGCCTTAGCAGCAGGAGTGTTTTCTTCTTTTCTCACCCCTTTCTTCTCCAAAAGGGAGTCTCCACCCTGAGGAGCTGTTAAGGGGAGGGTCAGGCTGCGTAGATTTGTACTTTTGTAATGCTGTCCTCACACTGTCACAGCCCTACACCTGTACCTTTATTCCTGTTGGCTTCCTTGCCCTCTGCCCAGAGCCTGACTGCAGCAAAGTGGGGGAGGGCAGCACCAGCATAGAAGGGCTCAGCTGTCTGGAAGGTGCTTCATCTCACCTGCCCATGGCAAGGGAGCAAAGCAGACAAGCTGCCAGCCTCCATTTAACAGTAGCATGGTAAGTGTTGGAGCCTAAAGCTCCAGTGGCTGAGCCCTGTTCTTTCATGGGAGAGCAGGGCACAGGCAAAGAGGGGTGGGGAGTTTGCTCTGGGGTGCTGGTGAGCTCAGGCTGGGCAAGTAGGAGGTGTGGAAGAGGAGACAGACTGCCCTGCTTGCTCACAGCCTATTGCACACAGGAAGGGGATAGGCAGCACAGGCCCAGGCCACCATCCAGCACCTGGGCTCATCCCTTTGGGCAGGAATGGAGTACCGAGCTTGGAGGAAGGGTTTTGCTGTTGGCAGACAGCAAAATGATTCCAGGCCCAACCACCACAGAGCCAAACAGGGCAGCCTGTAGAGGGAAGAGAGGGGCAGGGGAGCAGGGCACAGGGAGGGATGCAGGAACTCACTGTTCTGCATGGCTGAAGTCATAGCAGAAGTTTAAGTTGCTGGGGGGCTTTGGGACAGGAGGGGGGGTGTCAGGGATGCTGATGTTCTCCAGGTCCAGGAGCCGCAGCTTGAGTTCCATCGACAGCAGGACATCAAGATCCGTCTGTGTTCGCTCACTCGTCATCTCCTTGCCCAGGAGCATGTTCAGCCCATCTGTCCAGAGGCAGAACTAGGGGAGCAAAGAACAGGTATTTCCAGCACCTGCCAGGTGATGAAGGAACCCCTCTCTCCATCTATGTGGCACCCACCACAGCACCCACCCTGGGCCATGTGCCCAGAGCAGCCCTACACTGAGTTCCTCCTTCGCCATACCTCCTTCACCAGGCCACTCTCACCCTGCCCTCACCTAGGCTAAGGGCAGCTTGGCCCCAGCCTTTAAGACCTGGCCACACATGCTCCAGCAGAGTCATGCAGCTAAAAGCAATGCTCTTTTCTCCCTTGCCACCATGCATTGAGCTCCCAGCCGTGCACAGCCTGGCCCAGAGCCGTGGGGAAGCCCAGTGGCACGTTTGACATGCAGTGCTGCCACTGGGGAGACTAGCATTTGCCTTTCTCTCTAGTCAGAGGAGAGATCAGCTTTCTTTCCAGCATGTGGTCTCAGCCCTGCCTTCCCCCAGCCACTTACCCCCACCTCCACAGCCCGTCCTCAAGCCAGTGTCACCCCCTGAGCTCCATGTGTGACCTTTGCAGCCAGGCTGGGTCTTTGTTCATCCCCAAACCTCACAGCCAGCTGGAGAGCTGCAGTCCTCATGTTGCTCTGAGGCCTCAGCCACACGTACAAAGGAGTTACTGTCCCTTCAGCATTAGCTGGCATGCTGGCTGGATGCCAGGGAATCCCAATTCTTCTGGGCTATGCAATGAAGGGCAGGAGTGGGCACGTCCTCTCCTAGTTTCACAAATCACTCTTTGGTGTCCAAATCCAGGGCAGAGCCAGCAACTGCCAGGCTACCTGCCTCAGCCCCTTCTCTCCTCTGTTTTGCTGAGTGCACCTGGCATGTTTGAGAACCAGAGAGCTCCAAGTACTTTGCAGCAGGCTCTCTTTTCCAAGGCTGGGAGAAAAGAGACCAGCCCTTCCTTGCCTGCTCTCTCCCTGGCAAGGACATCTGGCTGCAGCATGCTTCTAGCACCCTTGGCCCTTGGAGCTCACCTCATACCGTGTGGGAGCAATAAAGTTCAGACAGTATTCTTCCACATCATACACAATGGAGAAGGCAAGTTCCAGGACATCCTGCAGGAAAAGCACAGGGGTTGGCAAAAGAGGCTTCCTTGGCTTCTCAGCTGGACATGCTCTGCCCTAGTGGGGGTCACAACGGGAGCTACCTTCCCAGCCTCTTCCTGTGTAGCCCAGAAGACCCAACGTGCCTCCAATCTCCCCTCTCTAGACAGGCCAAAACCTGCCACACACTAGCCTATCTCCACATCTCCTTCAGAGACCTCTAGCTTTCGGAAGAGGATGGTTAGTCTTGGATCCTGGCCAGCTGCCAAAGACAGCTGTACTTCAGGACATGTCTGGGGTACCAGGGTGGCATGTGGAAGGTGCAGAGAAAGCGGTGGAGGGCAGGAGAGTGCAGTCCAGTGTGCACAAGGAGGAGGGAGGGGAGCATGCTGGGTCCTCTGCACCGTGCAGGGTGGGGGGTGGTGCTGACCTTGTTCTGCTTCCCAGAGCTCTTCTCCTTCGTGTGTGGACACTCCTTTCCAACAAGCAGTGCCTTCATGTCCGCCACAGGAACTGGGGCAGGCATAGGAGCTGTGAGTGCCTACTGTCCTCCCTCCTTACCCACAAAACTGCCGCCCTGGGCAGGGACTCCAGGCCGCTGCAGACCTCTTAGGTCAGCAATGTGAGGAGGCAGGGCACTTAGCCACAGTCCTCAAAGGACGTGTGAGCTCAGGCCAGGCTCTGGGCCAGTTTCAGTAAGGGAAGGCCATGGAGATGCTGTTGGCAGTGGCAGGAAGCAACCTGCCCCCACACCATGTCTCCTCCAGGTCCCCAATGCTCAGAGCTCAGTGGAGTCTGAGCAAGGGGTCTCACACCCATATGCTACGCAGGAGAGCTCAAGCTGCTCTGCAGTGCTGTTTCCAGAGCCAGCCAGCCCCGGTCTGAACCCCCACAGCACCAGCAGGAGCTGGGTCAGACATGCGGCACCTGGGCAGAGGGCCAATTCCCACCCTCTGGCATCCCCAGCACTTTGGAGCTTGGATGGGAAGGAGGATCCCTCTCTCCCTCCCTCTCTCTATCACCTACTTTTTTCCGGCGGCCTCTCAATGGGGGGAGAGTGCACCCCCTCCTCCACATCCCCATAGTGCAGCACCTTGTGGTTGGGTGAGAGGCGGCAATACCACAGCTTATCTGCAGCAGAAAGGCCGTAGGGATATGCTCAGCCCCCAGTCAAGTGCCCAGTCTCCACTGGTCAATGGAGTTGCCCCCCCCAATTCACACACCTGTGTTCCCAGCCCCCCAACCCAGGCACCATGCAGATCAGCCGGATCCAGCCTTCTGGAAAGCCTGGCACACTGCCCACCACAGAAGTGGCTTCCCCTGTGGCAGGGAAAGCAGGCACTTTTTCAGCCTCTGTTTCCACCCTGGCATCCCTGTCCAGGCAGCAGGAACAGGGCTGACACTTACCCTGCCTGCGGCGGCTGCTGATCTTGCGAAAGAGGGTGCCCTCACAGAGGCGCATCAGACGCTGCTGTCGTATCAGTTCTAGGAGCTCAGGCTTCAGCCTCTCACGCAACTCTCTGGGCCAGGAGAGAGAAGAAGAGTGGCATGGACTCTCCAGCATAGACCCATCACCTCTCCAAGGGCCTTCCCAGCCCCACTGAGTCTCCCTCCCAGCACAGGTAGGGTCTGCGGACCTGCCTGAGAGTCCCTGCCTGGAGCAGCACAGCCCTGTCACAGCTCCGGCGCCCTGCCCACACCACACTCACAGCACAGGCACAGCCAGTGTCTCCTCCTGGTGCAGCCGCTCCGTCTGCCGCAGCTTGAGGATCTCACTGTAGTTCAGAACATTCACTCTGGTCTTGAATAACTCCAGGGAGGTGGGCTTGAGGGACAGTGTCCTAGTAATCTGTTCCCGCACCACCTGCAGCACCTGGGGGGGAGGGGGTGCAGAGCGTCACTCCTAGCCTGGCAATGCTCCCCAGAGCCCCGAACACACACGCACCCTGTGGCCCTGGCTCCCATCCATGGCTCTAACATCTGCATTCACCTTGTCAAAGTCCTCCTGGGTAGCACGCATCTCCTTCCAGGTCTTGTTCACCAGCTGGATGCAGATGCAGAAGAGCTCTTCGAAGAAATGGTCCTGCCCGAAGAACATAGGGTAAAAGGCCTGAGCCGTCTCCGAGCCTGCAGTGAGAAGGACAGATGATGCCAGACTCCCCCATTTTTCCAGGGAATTTCACTACCCAGGAGAAGAATCTGGATGTTTCCCAGGCTTATCTCCCCTACCCCCAGTGCCAGACATACTGGAGCCTGGTGCCCTGCTGGGCAGGCATGTACACAGCCCTCCAGCCATGGCACCATGCCTGCCCTCACTCCTGCCAGTCAGGAGGCAGCAGGGCAGGGAGAGGGGTGGGCTGGGGCACACACATACATGGCTCTCCCACGTGCAGGATCTCGCAGAGGATCAGGGTGAGCTGGATGCTGCTCCGAGCAAATGGGCATTCATGTTTGTCTTCACGACTGCTGTTCTCAAGGACAAACTGGAGGAAAAGGTCATTGCCTCACATTACACACGTCACAGAATCAGAGTGGTGTCCCAGCAATACAGGGCTTGGACTCCCCATGCTCCTTCTGCACTTTCTAGTTGATCCGCCCCCACCTAACAGAAGTATTTAGCTTCTCCTTGAAAACTAGTCCCAGTCTCCTCACCCTCCTGTCTCAGTGCTAGAGCTTAGCAGAGGCAGAGCAGGTCAGAGTGTGGCTAATGCGCTGATCCACTGACTGGTTTTGCCTAAATTGCCCAGATCTGCTTAGACTCAGACTAGACCTGGAAACCAAGCTGTAAGCAAATACTGAAATATACAGGGGCCCTTTAGTGGAGTGCCATCAGCTCAAACAGCTTCACACAGGAAGGACTCAGATGCATTTTGAAAGTCAAAGAGGGCAACACTAGGACACCAGCTCAAGAGGCAGTGGTATCCCAGTCTGGGTCTGGTCAAGGACGGGTCCGAGAAACAGGAGATCCACAAGCACCTCTCTACCAGGAAATTCTCCAAGTGACAGAACTCACCCTGCTGTAGGCGTTAGGGGTATGCCTGGAGAAATACACCATGTTGTCAAGGGCAAGGAGTCCTGGGGGGGCACGGTACAGGTCCTGTGCTGGGTTGCTGTTGTTCTGAGAGGACACAAAAGGATGCAATTTTTGCAACTGCTCTCTTCTCCAAGCAGCAGAGTCCCCCTGCTGCTGCCTAAGGATTTGCCCTTCGAAACAAGGGCTGCAAGTAAAGCAAAGGATAGTACTAACGGTCCCTGCAGTGCATGGCAGCTCTGCAGCACTCACTGTTTAGTCATGCTGAGGGAGCAGAAGGCAGGTCCTGCAAAACAGCCCGGCAGGACCAATAGGGATACCAGGCCCAGGGAAGATGTCGGAAAGCCCTAAAAAGGCCAGGTGGCAGGACAGGCATGTGGACAGGGTGGGGGCACAGGGCAGACGCACCACAAAGCCCAGCTTGCGGAACTCCTTGGCACACAGGGAGCGCCGGCGCTCAGTGCTGAAGTTGCTGGTGGGCGTCTCACTCTCCGACTCAAAGGCAGTTTGGCGCAGTGACTGGAGGAGCTCCCGCTGTTCCTGAAGGGAGAGGAGAGAGAAGGGATGCCAGCAAGCCCCGTGCAAGCAGGTCTCCCAAGAGTAAAACTAACACTGAAATCCACTGGGAAAGGAACACACCCCAAAGGCAAATCTTTGCCTGGCAAAGCACCTGCCTCCACTTCCACAGGTGGGAAGCAGCATCAGGGAGAAGGAGAGAGGGAGCAGGACAGAGCAGAGGGCCAGACCCACAAGAAGTGTGCTCCCAGACCTGTGAATACGGATCCATGGGGGTCCTCATGCGGCGCTCGTGCAGGTTGAGGCTGATGGACTGCAGCACATACAGGTAATGGGCCATCTCATCCCCCAGTGGCTCCGAGCTGTGGATGATGTTCTACAGGAGACTGCGAGTGAGAAGGTTCCACCAGGCTGCTGCCCCCAGTCCCTCTAGGTTTAGGGCCCAAAAGCCAAAGCCTGGCAGGCACTGCTGCTCAATGGGGCTGTAGAAGGTGGGCGGCTCCTCTCAGAACTGGGCAAGAGCTGGGTGCACGGAACTACAGGCAGCTGGGGTGCCCCCTCAGATGGGTACAACAGCACCCACAGAAGGCATCAAGGAAGGGGTGTGGGGCACACAGGTAACCCAAGCAGACAGCGAGCCACCAAAGGCATGAGCTGAGGGGGGGCACACACAGAGGCAGAGGCTAGGGAGGAAGGAGAGAAGAAGAGGCACAGAGCAGACCATTGTATGACCCCTGCTTCACACCTTGTGGATAAACTGCCTGACGTTCCTCTCCCTCAGGTAGTCCATGATATCCTAGGAAGGGAAGAGACTGTGAAACATTCCCCAGCTCAGCACGCTACTCTTTCCCAGAAAAGCTGGTGTTCCCTTTACAGACCCCCACCGCTGCTATGCCAGGCTCTGGGCTACAGGCAGGGTAGGGAGAAAAAGGAACAGGCAATTTGAGGAGTGACACTGGTGAGCAGGAAACCTGGCCTCAGCTCCCATCACCCTGGCACCCAGGGCCAGCGTGCTCCAGCAGGGCCCAGACAGACCCTGTCCCACAAGGCCACTGACACAATCTGCACCAGCCAAAGAGAAGAGGCAGAGCGGGAGGATTAACTTTAAATGTCTCTGGGCACCCCCTCACAGTCCTGCAATCCCAGAGGATGCAAACACTACAATGCAGCTGCCCACACCTCCCATCACAGATGAAGGAATCCCTGCCCTGCACCACCAGCTCAGCCATGCTGTGCTCAGAGTCTGGGCCATCGCGGTCCCTGTGACAGCACCACACCTAATGTTGATCCTAGCATTTGAATTCTTGTATCCACCAAAACTACTCCACTCTACCAGAAGCCTCTCGGCAGAGCGCCCCAGCAATGGCTGCACTGCTGTGCTCGGGCCTGCGATGCCCACAGCCCTGCAGTCACCCACCACCCTGCAGCCACACAGTCCTGCCCGCTGCTCTCAGGGAAAGCAGCCCCTTACCCGTCGCTCAGCATCAGTGGCAGCCAGCAGCAGTGCAATGAGCAGGGCCATCGCCTTCAGCTGCAACTGGGTATTTGTCCTGGGGAAGGAGGAAGAGGAGGAAGAAAGTCACCATCTGAGAGGATGGTCTTGCCCTCCCCAAGGCAGACTCCTCTTCCCCTTTGACTGCTAGACTCCACTGCACTGAGGTGGGGAACTTGGGGAGACAGTACCCTGAGGCTGGAGCCATCAACAAGGACCTGCTGGCAGCAGAACCAGGAGCACTGCAGGTCCAGGAGACAGATACTCCCCACACCTATGACTGAGGAGCACCCCTACACAGAGCAATGGATATTGCTTTGGACGTGTCTGTGGGTGCAGCTTCCCAGAGAGCTCTGAGAAGCAATAACCAAGAAGAGCCTATGCATGAAGGAGAAGTGTTTGTATGACACAAGATCTCTGTGAAAAGGTGGGGGACAGCATTTGGGAGCCATAGGAAGGGCTTGAGAGGAAATCCAAGGCAAGCAGCAGGCTCCTGTCTGGCAGGAGTCCTGGACGCAGTTCAGGCCTCCCCTTTTTCTAAGAAGGAAATCTCAAAACTGAAGAGATACAGAGGTATGAGGAAGATGAAGGAACAAAGAACCCGTCTCAGTAGAGGGATTCAACAAAATCTGCTTATTCAGCGTAGCCCCCCAAAACTGTGAGGGATACACTACTGTTTATAAATACACTAGGAAAAAGCAGGAAGAGCCAAAGCCACTTCAGCTAAAGAATAAAAACATCCGGGCGAAACAGGACGTGAATGAATCTGACCTGGAAATGGGATGGTTTCTAACTGCCAAGTGGTGGGATTCCAGGACAGTCTATCCCTCCCCCAGCTTCATGGCAGTGAGGACAGAACAGATTGATCACACAGAACGTGTTTATAAAAGCATAGTACAATGTCGCACCAGGAATAATCAGCAACACATCTCCAAGACCCAGGGATTGCCTTCCAATGCCACAATCCCACTGGCTCTAGGATATGGGGGGACAAGGACCCAGCCTCTCCACTTACACCTGCAGGTGGGTGAGCAAACGATCCACAGTCACTTCTTTTTTGACTAGCTCAAAGAGCAGGCGACTGCTAGGTACCATGTTCTCCAAGATTGACAAGGAGAGCTGCTGGACAGAGGCATCCATTGCGTTCATATTGACATAACTCACTATCTGCAATGAACAAAAACATCAGTCAAAGGCAGGCTGAGCCTAGGTAACCAGAGTAACGAGGTACCTGAAAGGTGCAGGCTGCAGAATCTATGGAATGTACTACCTTTTTGATGAAGGCCGCACTAAGTGTCTCCCAGGAAACAAAATCATGCTCCATCAGCTCCATGAAGGCCTTCAGGGTGTGAGCTAGTATCTCCCCTGTACTGGAGAAACAGAAGAAAAAACACAGTGAATGCTCTAGTTACACATTGCTGGATACATTAGAAACAACTAGAAAAACAGAGAAGGAGGAGCAGAAGAAAGAAAGGATAGAATGAGGAAAGAGGATGGAGTTGAATGCAGAACGGAGAGAATAAAGAGAGAAAGGAGGAAAGAATGCTTACAGAAATCAAACTCACACTTAGTCACCCCCAGGAGTCAAGGCAGGGGGAGTTCTGCAGTTTCTGGAAAGCTGTGTTACCGTGGTACAAAGACCACACACAAGCCCTAAGGAAACCCAAACCTCCTAAATCTCTCCCTGCCACCTGCAGTGTGCCAGACAGTGCACTGTCCAATTTTAGGCTCCAGATCCTCTGTGAAAGGAGAGCTCATGGAAGACGCAGCATCGCATCTTGAGAGAAAAAGAGTCAGAGAGCCACTAGGTTGGCAATTGGGGCTTTCTCAAGCTGCCTGCAGACCTCTGGCAGCTAAAACCCTCAGAGCAGAACAAAGAGCACTGCTGCCAATGCTGCCCTCTGTGCCACAGCACAGAGCTTCTGGAGAAAGGGGCCACAGGGATGAATAAACCAGGAACACTGAACAAAGCAGCCAGGCAATGCCCCGTGCAGAGGCTGTACAGTATTACAAGGGAGAAAAAAAACTCAACCACCACATGGAAATTCTTCTGCTGATACTCACTCATTCCCCTCTTCCACAATAGAGAAAATCTGTTTCAAGCCATTTCTGTTGATGAACTCCTGAGCAAAGGTAACATCTTGGGAAAGGCTTGCAAGCCTCTTCAGTGAGTCAGACTTCACATCCACGTTGTTGCTCTGGATCCCGTTGTACAACCCCTCTGCTTCTTGATCCTACCAGGAAGGAAAGAATCAAGCCAAAGCGGCTCATTGAAAGACAGCAAGAAACTCAGATGGAGGCAGGGGCTGGAGAGCTTAAGTATAAGTTTTGGAAGGAGGATCAGGCTAGAGCAGCTCCAGTGAGGAGAACGACTGAGACACAGAGTGATCAGAGCAGAAACCATCAGGAACTGAGGAAGGAAGTCAGACTGGAGCAGTACTAAGAACAGCTGGCGGAGTCCGCCCATGGGTCCAAAGCCTTTCACAAGGTGTTATTTAGTTTCTCCTCAAACTCCTCTGAGTTCTACTGAGGGAGAAAGAAGGTTGAGACCAGTCTCCTCACACTATTTCTGCTGGATCTGAGGCACAGAGAGGAGCCACGATCAGCCAGATGTCACAGAGCACGCAGTGGCAGAGTGTCACTGGGGTGGGCTTGGAGCACCTCATCCTCCCCATTGCAGGAAGCTGCAGGCTGACACCAGAGCATGTTTCAGAGAAGGAGATAGGAAGACAGGGGGATGTACCGGAGAGGTGGTCAGCCATAAAATGCTTCCGTTCTTAATCTCCCCACGGTTCTGTAACGAGAAAGTAAATTGTTAGGAGAATGCAGAACTGCAGGCAGCTGGGGATGGGGCAGGCAGTCACTCACCAACTCAGTGATGTATGTCTGCCGCCCATCTGCGTACTGCAGGGCGTAGCGCTCCGCGTTGGGCAGGCTCCACCTGCAGCAACACATAGCTGGTCATGGCAGGGTATGGCCTGGTCGTGGCCTGTCACAGGCTGGCCACAGCCTGGTCATGGCCTGTCATGGCTCACCACAGGCTGGTCATGGCTCATCACGGCCTGCTACAGCCTAGTCGTGGTCTCTCACAGCTCTATCACAGCCTGTCATGACCTGTCACAGCCCACCACAGACTGTCACTAGCTGTCAGAGCCCTGTCACAGGCTGTCACGTATCTGCCACAGGCTAGTCATGGTCTATCACAGTCCCACCATGGCTTAGCTAGGGCCTGCTACAGCCTGTCATGGCCTCATCACAGCCTGTTACA